TGGGCTTCTAGAATTACAGGATATCATTTTGCTATATTGTAAGGGTAGAGCTTAAGTTTCTCCATTCATTTGGGACTTAACTCAACACATGTATGTACTGTGAACTGTGACTTTGAGACTCTCTTTGTGATTAAAAGCGTGATTCAAATATACTGTGACATTTGTCGTAGATCATCATTGTAAACGGGGGCATTCACGAAAAAGTGGCACCTCCGATGGGACAGCGAAGAAAAAATTACTACCGGTGAGTATTTCGTGTGAATATCGATGCAGCATTATCCACGTTGGATATGAAACTTATCCAGCTTCAATTTGCGAGGGAAAGAACCGAGGAGACAATCCAAAGCAAGCGTTGTGACAAAATCGAAAGACAAATCAAGGCGTTGAAGGGATTGTCGGGTGAAGAGGGGGGCTTTGGGATTTTTCGGATTTTTCGGTTTTGACTGTTTTTTGGATCGGGTTTTCAGGTTTTGGGCCTAAAAGGTTCGGTTTTTCGGTTTTGAAGTTCAGAGTGGTTTGCGGATTCATTTTACATATTTTTACACTCGGTTTTGGTTTTCACGAAGACTCTGAGGCGGTTTTCGGTTTTCCTTTTTGACCCCTTCAAAGATGAACATGTAGCGGTTTTGTCAGGTTGGCATGCGGTTTTCGGTTTTGCTGCCTCTTTTCGTCGGTTTTGAAGGTTTTGAAGGTTTTTTCTCCAGTTTTGTGGTTTCCCAGAGGCCCCAATGCCCCGCTCGGTGAAGCCAACCAGCTGAAAAGAACCCTCGAAGGGTTCAAGATAGCTGCTAAGGAGAGCGCCAAGGCAGTAACGCAATGAAATGATCAAATCGAGGAAAAGATAACCAGGGCAGACGACGACATCTTAAGGTTAAAGGAATGGCTCGAAGAGACCAAGGGAGAAGAAAACCAGAAGATCCGAGAAGAAGAGCTTCAATACGAAAGACAGCTTTTCGAAACACGTCTAAAATTTCAAACCGAGTTAAATGCGGTCAAAGCGAGCAAGGCCGAGGGAAGTGAATCCGTGAAGAGTAGTAGTGGCTCAGCGACTGGTTTGGAAGCAAAATTGCTGAAGTTATTGATTACCAAATTCAACGGCACGTTCCAAAATTGGCCACGATTCTGGGGGCAGTTCAGTGAAGCATAATTGTTCAGNAAAGCGACACACCAGTTTCATGAGCGATTTGCATATTGTGTGCAATCCTTGCAAACAATGGGGAAATTGGATCAAGTGAACGGAAATGTACCAATGAGACTTGACAAACTGTCAGGGATTAGAGGCGATCTTGTCTTCACTGACGACTCGTGGGACAACTGGTATTTTGTGAAGCTTTGTGAAGCATTACGATTGTGGATTAGGCGAAACCCAGTCAACTCCATTTCAGTAGAGGAAGTGGATCCCAAATCTTCTTGTCTAAAGTGAGAAAGGCCTGACAAGTTGTTCGCCGCAAAACAATGGGATCTTAAACAGCGGAAATGTGTTTACTGTGAGGACACATCTCATGTTTCCTGGGAGTGCCCAAAGATGTCAACACTCAATGAAAGAAAGACGTTTTTGGCTCAACGTCACCTTTTTCTTAATTGTACATACAGCAGCCATCAGGCCTCTAAATGCGGGAACAAAAATACTCGTGCTGTAACTGTGGTCGTCACCATCAAACGTCCATCTGCAATCGAATGAAACCACTGCAAGAAGTCGCATTAACAGCCGCAAAAAGGGGAGATGGCATTTTTCAAGTCGTGAATGTGAAAGTAAATGGAATTGAGTGCCGTGCGTTGATTGATACCGGAGCCGGAAGCTCTTATGCCTCTGTGAAATTTATCAATCTCCTAAAATAAAGCGAATCGATGTCAAAGTTGAGCAAGTTGACATGCTGGTGGGAACATCAGTGAGTCGCCTTGAAACGTAGAGGTCTTGCATTGAATCGGTTTGCAGAGACTTCAAAAGGGATGCGAACTTGATTAAAGTGAACAAAGGAGAACTGTTGACAGTAGACAAACCAGACTATGATTCAGTGATTGCGAAATACCCGCATTTAAAGGGAGAGGAATTGCATGGCCCTGACACTAAACCTCGACTTCCGGTGCACATAATTCTTGGGGCCAGAGAATACGAAAGAGTTAAAACAGAAACCCCACCACATATTGGAAGGGATGGCAAACCTGTGGCCGAACTGACTAAACTGGGTTGGTTTGTGATGTCCCCTAGACTGGAATTTGACCGGAATGCGATGATGCTTACACAAACCAGTCAGTTGGAGTACGAGGAACTTTGCAGGCTTGACGTGTTAGCACTAGCGGACAGCTCTCCCTACGACCAAAAGGCAGTGTACAGTGAATTTAAGGCGCAGTTAGTGAAGAGCGAGCAAGGTTGATATGAGACTGGATTGCCGTGGAAGGGAGATCGGTCAACTCTGCCGAATAACGACAACGGGAGTCTACAACGGCTACAAACTCTGACACAAAAGTTGCAACGAGCGGAATAAACAGCAGAATATGACAACATCATCAGAGAACAAAAGGAGCAGGGGATAATCGAGAGCGCTGATCAACCCGCCCAGGGAGTTGAATTTTATATTCCTCGCAAACCAGTGGTACAGGAAAACGCAGAGTCCACATAAATGCACATTGTCGATGACGTGTCTGCCAGAGTTCACCCATCAGCGCCATCCTTGAATGAGTGTCTCAACGCTGGTCCCATGCTACAGAAAAAACTCTGGGATGTACTTGTTCGCCAGTGCTGCTACCCAGTTCCAGTGACCAGAGATTTAAAGAAAGCGCTTTTGCAGGTGTGGATCAGAGAACTGGACAGGGATGCACTTAGATTTCATTGGAAGAAAAATGAACACTCACTGCTTGAAACACTAAGGTTGGCCAGAGCGCTGTTTCGCCTGACCTGTTTGCCGTTTCTACTTGGGGGAGTGCTAGAGTGTCATCTTGGAACATGGGAATCAAAGATGCCAGAGTTGGTGGTGGAGTTCCGTAGAAACCTTTACGTGGATGACTTGCTATCAGGGGGAGTGACAGTACAGCAGGCACAGTACCGCAAGGAGCAGGCTATTGAAATCTTCGATGACGCAGGTTTCACCTGACATAAATGGCATTCCAGCGTCCCAATACTGGAGGGAGAGACCAAGAAAAAAGACACAGACATGTCGTTTGCCAAGCAGCAGCTCCTGCAATTAGGGGAATCTAAAGCCAGCCTACTAGGTCTTGGATGGGACAAAGGAAAAGATGAATTGAAAGTCAAGTTCCCGACTGAAGAAGTGCAACCGACGGAAAAAGGAGTTTTAAGCAAGCTTGCCAAAGTGTATGATCCATTGCGCCTGGTATCGCCCGTGACGCTTGAAGGCAAAGTGATCTTTAGAGATGTTTGTCACCAGAACCAAGCCTGGGATGCCAAGCTCGCGGGACCACTACTCTGGAGGTGGCAGAAATGGGAGCAGTCTCTACCTACGGAAGTGCCAGTGCCAAGGTCGATTACAACTTTCAGGAACCGTTACAAGATGTCAAACTACACAGCTTTGGCGACGGAAGCAAACTGGGAGTGGGAGCCGAGGTTTACACGGTAGTGGGACAAGAGATGGGACCAACTCAACGTCTGGTAGCTGCTAAAGCGCGTCTTGCAAAGGGGGGACTCTCCATACCCCGTTTGGAACTGGTTGCTGGCCATATTGCAACCAACTTACTCACCAATGCGTGAAATGCTTTGGATGGGCTACCAGTTTCCAACGCGTACGGCTGGCTGGACAGCACCGTTGCCCGGCATTGGATACGAGGGAGCCGAGAGTTTAAGGAGTTTGTCTAGATCAGGGTGACAAAGATCAGAGCACAGTTAGATATGGTGTGGCAACATGTCAGCTCCGAAGAGAATCCAGCCGATTTGGCCAGCCGCGGGGATCAGTTAATGGATCCACACTCTGGTGGAATGGGCCTAAGTGGCTTGCTAACCGGGGCGAATGGCCACCTAATCTAATTACTTCAGCTTGCCCTGCGACAGAGGTTGAAGTCAAAACTATGCGAGAAGTATTATCATTGGCGCAGCCCAAAAATTCAAGCGACTGAGTGGAAGAAGTGTTAGAGAAGCACGAGCTGAAATATGCCCAGAGAGTTTTTGCATGGGTTACAAGGTTCATATTAAACAGGACAGAAGGAACCACAGCTTTGAAGTCGCAGGCTTGCATTTCGCAGGCCCAATTCGCAATCTTAAAGGGAGTAACCGAGAAGGGAAGGCTTGCATCGCCCTGTTTGCCTGCAGTTTAACGCGTGGAGTACATTTTGAGTTGTTACCAAGCCTAGAAACTGGGAAGTTCCTTCCATGCCTGAAACGGTTCATTGCAAGACGAGGCCGACTGAAGACACTGTACTCGGACAATGGAGGAAAGCTTGTCAAAGCATCTAAGTGGCTTCAACGGCTTCAACGAGATGAGGAAATACAACGATTCCTCCAGCAACAATAGATCCAGTGGCACTTTAACCTTCCTAGAACACCATGTCGGGGAGGGCAATTTGAGTGTCTTATCGGTGTTGTCAAGCGCGCTTTTCACAAGACCATTGGAGCAACAACGTTGACTTGGGATGAGCTTAGTAATGTCATACTTGATGTGAAAGTCCAAATCAATCGCCGACCACTGAGCTACGTCAATGATGACGTCCAACTGCCAATCCTTACCCCATCAACTTTCCTGTTTCAACGCTCAAATGTGTTACCAGAGCAAGAACCTGGGAGAGAGGGTAATGTGGACTTGAGGAGACGCGTGAAATACCTCAAGTCTTGTAAAGATCAATTATGGCACTGTTGGACAAGAGAGTATCTGACGGCTCTCTGCGAAGGACACAATCTAAACCACAAGCGCAAGAACTTCAAGGTAACAGTAGGAGATGTCGTTCTTATCAAGGCGGAAGAGAAGAATCGAAACAAGTGGCCAATGGCCGTAGTACAGCAAATCTACCCGGGTCACGATGGAGTAGTTCGTGCGGTATAAGTTGGAACAGCAACCGGGAAATTGGAAAGACCAATATAATATCTCTATGCGCTGGAGCTGAGTTGTGACAGGTCAAAGCCTCCTGAACTCAACCCACTGGCAGAAGTTTTCCGACCTCGTCGTCATGCAGCAGCTGTTGCAGCGGATAACATTAGGGCTATCGCCTTACGTGTTAGAGTCTCTTGTTAGATTTCCTTTATTAGCCAAGAACATTATGGACGAGAACATTTTTGTTTTTACAATTTCCTTTAACGTTTCAACTTAATTCAGTTTAATGATGTTTTAGTGATTCAATAACATATACCTCCTTCGAAGCTATATGGGGGGAGAGTGTCGGAGATACCGCGTTCATGTCTTCGTTAAGTCAGGATTGATTGACAAGCC